ACGAACTGTACTTGGACTGGGACACTCTTACATCAACAACTAACGAACTGTACTTTGACTAGGACACTCTTACATCAACAACTAACGAACTGTACTTTGACTAGGACACCCTTACATCAACAACTAACGAACTGTACTTTGACTGGGACACTCTTACATCAACAACTAACGAACTGTACTTGGACTGGGACACCCTTACATCAACAACTAACGAACTGTACTTTGACTAGGACACCCTTACATCAACAACTAACGAACTGTACTTTGACTGGGACACCCTTACATCAACAACTAACGAACTGTACTTTGACTAGGACACTCTTACATCAACAACTAACGAACTGTACTTTGACTGGGACACTCTTACATCACAACTAACGAACTGTACAACTGGGACAACTAAACTAACGAACTGTACTTGGACTGGGACACTCTTACATCAACAACTAACGAACTGTACTTTGACTAGGACACTCTTACATCAACAACTAACGAACTGTACTTTGACTGGGACACCCTTACATCAACAACTAACGAACTGTACTTTGACTGGGACACTCTTATATCAACAACTAACGAACTGTACTTTGACTGGGACACTTTCTGTCAGAGAGTCAAGTTCTGTGGCTTCTCGTGAACAGTGAACGGGTGCTAGCTGACCTTGCGCTTATAGAAATATTATGTGTCGTTTTTGTCTCCCATTTTTCTCTGGACTATATTTTATGTTTGCCTTCTACACATTTCATGAAATCTGTTGGCCAGTGTCCCAACGTATCACCCTTAATTCCAAACCAATGAAGATGGATGTGATAATTACAGTATTGATGTTTGTTATGGTGGTGGTGAGTGTTTGATGCTGTTCATTTTGTTGATAACGTGAACGAGGGGAGGCAGAGAGTGGAAGCTTTGGCTTCTGTTGCCTGTTCCCTGCCAGATAAATCTGTTAGTTCTTCTGTTGCCTGTTCCTTGCCAGATAAGTCTGTTAATGCTTCTGTTGTCTGTTCTATGCCAGATAAGTCTGTTACTGCTTCTGTTGCCTGTTCCCTGCCAGATAAAGCTGTTAGTGCTTCTGTTGCCTGTTCCTTGCCAGATAAAGCTGTTAGTGCTTCTGTTGTCTGTTCTACGCCAGATAAGGCTGTTAGTGCTTCTGTTGCCTGTTCCCTGCAAGATAACGCTGTTTATTCGATGTCTTGCCTAACCTTACATATAAGCTGTGCTGCCTTTAGGCACAAGCTAACTAAACTACACGGCCTAGCCCCCCGCAGATCGCATACGTCTCATATTTCTTTTTTAGTCAAAAAATGCAACCAAAAACCTTTCAGAGAGTTATATTGTCTCATTTATGTGATATTTGCAAACACATTCATTATTTCTTTTACTAAAATTAACCGGCAGTATTTTTTTATTATCCATATTTTTAAGTGTCGTAATTTGTACGTTTTCTGAGATTAGTTAGTGGAATTAAAACAGTAAGAGCCTCTTGGCATTAAATTCTTTAGGGACTCATCAATTCTAAATCCGGCTCTACACATAACATTAACCAAATCGTTACAATGCGCAATGTGCTAGGCTGGAGAAGAAAATCCGGAGCAGCTATCAGGAAACGGTCAACGTCTAATTATTTCACGGTGGAGGAGTCGGACATCGCATGGATCATCGTAGCCCCGGAGCCGTGTAAGTTTTGGACATAAAATACATTAGCATCTTTATTAGCTCCTTACAGAGAACATCGAAGAGAGCTAAGGACAAACAGGGAGAGCTAAGGACAAACGGGGAGAGCTGAGGACAAACAGGGAGAGCTAAGCACAGACAGACGAATGTTTGGGTCATTAATCATCATCCCCCAACACAATAACGTGTACAGTGAGATTACCTATTCTAGAAACCTCAGAGACTTGCGTCAAAGAGTTAAGAAAGAAAGAAAGAAAGAAAGAAAGAAAGAAAGAAAGAAAGAAAGAAAGAAAGACAGACAGACAGACAGACAGACAGACAGACAGACAGACAGACAGACAGACAGACAGACAGACAGACAGACAGACAGACAGACAGACAGACAGACAGACAGACAGACAGACAGACAGACAGACAGACAGACAGACAGACAGACAGACAGACAGACAGACAGACAGACAGACAGACAGACAGACAGACAGACAGACAGACAGACAGACAGACAGACAGACAGACAGACAGACAGACAGACAGAAAGAAAGACAGAAAGAAAGAAAGAAAGAAAGAAAGAAAGAAAGAAAGAAAGAAAGAAAGAAAGAAAGAAAGAAAGAAAGAAAGAAAGAAAGAAAGAAAGAAAGAAAGAAAGAAAGAAAGAAAGAAAGAAAGAAAGAAAGAAAGAAAGAAAGAAAGAAAGAAAGAAAGAAAGAAAGAAAGAAAGAAAGAAAGAAAGAAAGAAAGAAAGAAAGAAAGAAAGAAAGAAAGAAAGAAAGAAAGAAAGAACATTCAAGTACTATTATAGCAATGAAAAAATGAAATCCACGTAGCCGGAAGCGATCACCTCGATAAGATGTACAGAGACAGCTTCTCCAGCTTGTAATTGATTCTACGGGAGGCTTTGGAGAACGAGACAGGAGCTGCTGGCTGACCATTGGAACCTCCATCACACATTACACCGACACCCCCGTGTGGGTTCCGGGGTCCTATTGTGGGGAAAACAAGAATTGACCCACTGCCTCCCCAAAAGCATGTCGTAAGAGTCGACTAACTGGGGAGCTTCCTTTGAAGTCGGAGTGCATCTGCCTGAGAGGCAAGGAACCAACAGTCTACATTCATTTGAATCAGATCTGTAAAACTGATGCACACGCAACACTCAGGTTCTGGAGCAGGACTGCAGTCCAGAAGTGGACGAACAACCAGAACTTTACGCCAGAGTGTACAGCCGGTGAACGCGAAGAAGAAGAAGATTACACCGACAAGCACACAGATAATCAAACAGATCAACTTATGTGGACATATGGTAATAGGTTGAAAGAAAGACGAGTTGCGGAAAAATAAACGGATAGATAAACGAGCAGGGAAATGAATAAGGCACGTAAACTGTTATACAGACAGATGGACAAGCATCCACACTTCTAGAAAGATGAAACGGAGGACGGACCGAACAAAAAATAAATGTATAAATGCGTGAATATATTTTAAGGTGAGCGGGAGGATTAGCGGGCGGGGGGGGGGGGGGACGAATGGATTGACAGACAGACCACGGCACACAGTCGTTAGACAGAGACACTCGCAGACGACTGGCTAAACACTCAAGACACTCAAACAGGGGGTATATATTTCCTATGGAGCATTACCAGAGAGAGAGAGAGAGAGAGAGAGAGAGAGAGAGAGAGAGAGAGACAGAGACAGAGAGAAAGAGAGAGAGAGAGACAGAAGGTCTACTGTTGGTGAACATTGACACCACGATCTCATCCCTCAACTGTATAGGATTAATATACTACATTAAACGCGTCCAATTATTTTAAAGCTCTCAGAACAAGCGCAAATATTTACGAATTGCAATCGAGTTACGTACATTTACTTTTACACATACAATATATACATTTTTCATTCACGTATTTTCAATAAAAACAGATGAGGAACTCGGAAAATAGCAACAGTACGTACCTCATCCTCTTGTCCCTGGTTGGTACCCTGTATCCAGTGTACACACACGGCGGCCATTTCCTTAGTTCCCATGGCGATATTCGACGCTCACGTGTAGTAAACAAACACACCCCCTCGGACCGGGCTCGTCCACATCAACAAGCGACGACCAGTAACAGCAATAGTATCCTCACTTTTCTTGACAAAATTAATACTAATTTCAGTTAGCAGATGTAACCATGTTACATGCAAACAAGAAGACAATATTTACGCACAGTATTTGATCCCCTGCCCCCTCTCTTATTTTTCAAATATTAAATTTAATTATGATTTTACGAAATCTCGGATTAAATAAAGAAGCTGACTCCGACTAGAAGTCAATATCTCCATGGCAACGTTGACAATGGCGACTGCGTTCGAGAATTGAAGATGCAACAACAACTGAAAGCTGAGATACAGATAGTCGCTGGGTTCAACGTTTAGCGTTAGTGGACGTGCTAAGCTTTTGATGTAAGCACTGCTGGCTTTATTCGGGCCACCATTTTAGTAATATACGCTTATTAGTTAGACTTTAGTATCAGAATATAACGCCATTGCTCGCTTACTTACATCATTCGTAGCATTTAATTGGTACATGACATGCGGAAGTATTTATAATTGTATATACAAATCCAATACTATACACGTTTATGCCACTCAGAAAGATAATAAGGGTCTGCACAACCCAGGATAGAAATGGGCAAAAAAGTAAACAAGAATGTAAAGTACCTCTTCTACATCAAAGAGTGGAAAAGGATTTGATTTGATTTCGGGGCAATCCCATAAGCGCTTTGTCCCCCATCTTCAGCAGCCAACGAAGAGTTCCGATACTAATGGTGCCAATAGAAGAGGAAAGACTAGACAAGATGTGAGATAATTTGTGATGGCAGAAGACCAAACCTGGAAACAGACTTTAGGGTACCTCTACATCCCAGGGTAGAAAAGGAAAGACTGGAAAAGATGTGAGATTATGTGGGATGGCAGAAGACTAAACTTGGAATAAGACTTTAGGGAACCTCTACACTACAGGGTAGAAGAGGAAAGACTAAACAAAAACTGTTTGTTACCATTAAACCTCAGTGAAGAAGATAAAATGCTACACCAAACTATAGGGCACAAATACAATGCAAGTTTAAAAAACAAAACAAAAAGACTAAACAAACTGTTAGTTTAGTTTAGAACCTAGGTTACAACAGGGAAAAAACAGCCATATAAGAGAACACTAAACAGGTCACAATTTAAGACATTTGTAGTAAGCTGATAGAATATGGTATCACAAATATCATTTATTGGAGTCAAGGGAGAGTTTGAAATAAATGATTTTGTTGATTTCCTGTATTTAGACAACTCAGTGCCAGAGGCTCATGGAATACATAAATGTAAAGCTGACCCGAGCAGAGCGGGAGAACTTGATGTCTGAACACAAACCACACTACACTGGATTTAGTGCCCAACCTCTTCAACATCTGACTCATCGCCGTAGGCCACGTTCCATGCTTGACATTGAATGTCATCATTTTCTGAGAACTTCCACAGATGACATCACAAACCAGCGGCCAAGTTTGGAGCACAGGTTGTGGCTGCAAGCGGGAACATGTACAGTCACCATTCCCACTCATCAGGATAAAAACTACGACAGCAACATGTGGAGAAATTTCCGCCGCAGTTTCCAAATCAATTATTCTGCTGAAGCAGGGAGAGTCACAGACGCTGTTGCCGCTTTGTACCCGGTAAATATTCCTCCACCTTCTCACGTCAAAGATGACACATTTGACAAATTTCTGGGACAGACAAAATTGTTTGATAATGACAAATTCAAGAGTTTAGCCATTCAGAGAGCAGCCACAGAGATCTACGAGTTCCAGAAACTCCGGTGCCGAAGTCAGGCTCGCAACCCACCTTTAAATGAGAAAGGTCAGAAAACAGTTTCTATTGTATCTTTACATGTAGTTTACTTCCTGGATGCAGTTTCATGTGAATCATCACTGGACACTTCAGACAGGCTCTGGCCCAGTTGATAGCAGCCATGTCTGTGTATTTATGAGAAATTATTGTGACAATGGGGTGTTAAATCCTCCATTTTTAAGTTTAATCAACTAAATTAGATTTGGCGTACATTGAGAAGGGTTCTGTCACTGGTGGTATTGTAAGAGCCTTTGTCAATGTATGCCACACCCAATTGTGGGGGGAGGGGGCATGCTGAGTGGTCAAGAGGCATGGTGACTGCCTTGAGTGCTGGAGGTCCTGGGTTCATCCCCTGATAAAGGATGGGATATTTTCATGTGGACTTCTAGTTATTTCTGCTGGTCTCTGGGTAGTAAGATCAGACACCAGTGTGTATCGTTGCACACTTAAAAAAATCCCTTGGCGATTGGAAATCATTTCCGCAATTTACATGTGACTGAGGCACTGTTAAGGTATATTTTCGGCCTCGATAATTTGGGACCGTTATTTGGAGAATAGCCGATTTTATTTACCAGTTTAAGTGCACTTGCTGAACATTTCTCACTGTGGGTGGTCAGATCAATGCTAAATACTAAAATCAGCAACTCAACAAATACGAATTAGGTGACTGGTTGAAAAGATCATTTGTCCATGACAAGCCACCTTTTGAATTCTGGTCACACTGTAAACAAGGACAATAATTGTTTAATTCGTATACCTCTACAAACGACAACATCCTGTGTTACAATGAAGCCACACATATAAACTGGTTCAGTCAAGAATTGTGCACACAAAAGGAAATTGTCATTCACCTGTGTTTGCCCTGGTAAAGCAGGCAGTTACTTTTGCATGTAGTTGATTTTATGTTTTAGTAAAGAATGATTTACTTTTTTGTTTCATTTTAATCAATTATTTCTGACGAGATACAGTGAAATATGCCAGGCAATAAATTTTGTAATCTGTTGTTTGCATCTTCTCTGTTTAAATTCACAACCAGGAAACATTGCTGATTCATTTGACACTGATCTTCTAATTCTTTTAGTACAAGACAACTCTCCATACATTTCAAGGTCATTAGAGATATATTGTGAATTTGATGCTGTTTTTCATCACAGACTGACGGTATAGTAGCCCTTTATACCTGAATTCATGACTTTTAAGCTCAACTCATTGGAGGAAAAGTGGATACAGGAACAGAAGTATGTTTAAGGGAGACAAGTGGGTAAAGGGACAGAAGTGGGTAAAGTGACTTTTGTTGGGACTGAAATAGTTCATGTCAAAAACCTGGCCAGGTTTGACCAGGTCTGTAGGTGATGTCCTCCATCTTGACCTAGTTACACTCTAGTATTTTCTCAGCAGACATGGTTTTGGACTGGCAATGACATCTCACTTGTCTCTGAATTTGGAGAGGGCAAGGGAGGCTCTCAGCACAGTCACTGTGGAAATGATGATTCAGTTCCAAAACTAGGAGGGAAGCATTTACAGAAACCTGACTCTGACAGATGCAAGTCCTTTCCTAGGCTCAGTACCTGAATGTCACTGGATCCATGTTTCCAGATGATTCCCATCCAGCAATCAGCAGTTATCATTTTTTTGTCATAAAATCGGGATTGCTGTTTGAATTTTACTTATCCTGTACCTGTCTGACACCATTGGTCCTTATTCATCTCGGTTAGTGAAGTTGTGTTATAACTTCTTTGGAGGCTTTATCAGGGACCTGCCTTGTTAATTTGTCATCCAGATTAGGATTTAAAAAATTACGATAATATAGTAAACATTTAGGCACAACCCAGAGGGAACAAACTGATTGATCAATAAATGAAACTGTGGCCATACATTTGTCCCAAATCTCCTGTCTGTATGAAACTGTCAGTATACATTTGTATAAGGTCCCTTGCATCTACATATAACAGTTAAAATATTGTTATCAATTCTAAAGGTGACATCCTGCCACCAGAGAACTACAAGAAGTATGCCCAGAGATGTGTTGCCCTTACATCTCCTGCACCACCTGCAGATCCTCTTGGGCAGAAGACAGACATATTTGGCAGACGCTACACACCCCGCTCACAGCCAGCTCTCTGGAAGCTCAGTTACAGGTTAAACCATCCTAGATTTGACAGACTTCAAGAGGAGATCCAGACAAAGAGGCAAATGGTTAGGACAGCAGACAACAAAAGTACAGACTGCAGACTCCAGCAGATGTCACACTCACCTGACCCAGTTCAGTGACCAACAGAAGACTTAGTGTTTGTGGATGTCAAGTTAGATATGTAGTTTCCTCAAGCATGCGCCCATGCCAAGAGGATACTGACAGGTGAGACATCAGAGGTGTGGTTTCCTCAAGTATGTGTCAATGCCAATAAGATTCTGACAGGCGAGACATCAGATGTGTGGTTTCCTCAAGTATGTGTCAATGCCAATAAGATTCTGACAGGCGAGACATCAGATGTGTGGTTTCCTCAAGTATGCGTCAATGCCAATAAGATTCTGACAGGCGAGACATCAGATGTGTGGTTTCCTCAAGTATGCGTCAATGCCAATAAGATTCTGACAGGCGAGACATCAGATATGTGGTTTCCTCAAGCATGCGCCCATGCCAATAAGATTCTGACAGGAGAGACATCAGATGTGTGGTTTCCTCAAGTGTGTGTCAATGCCAATAAGATTCTGACTGGCGAGACATCAGATGTGTAGTTTCCTCCAGCATGCGCCCATGCCAAGAGGATTCTGACAGGCGAGACATCAGATGTGTGGTTTCCTCCAGCATGCGCCCATGCCAAGAAGATTCTGACAGGCGAGACATCAGATGTGTGGTTTCCTCAAGTATGCGTCAATGCCAATAAGATTCTGACAGGCAAGACATCAGATGTGTGGTTTCCTCAAGCATGCGCCCATGCCAAGAAGATTCTGACAGGGAAGACATCAGAGGTGCCAGGTAGATGAGAAACCTGTGACTATCTGAGAATGTAGTACCTAGCACGTCAACAACAGACAGGAGTGCAGGGATTTATCATTGTATTATTTGTACTTGTAAATATTTTCTGTTTGTGCTTGCCTGCTCCCTTGTACACAAGAGTGTAGATGTCACTGAGAATTCTCTAACACTTGACTGTCTAATCCTCTATTCCATTCTGTCCCAAACAATCCTTGTGTAAGATTGATGGGATCCACTCAATTGTCTTTGGCCTCTCTCATCACAGGGCTTCTCTTAGATGCCCTAACCTCTTCACAATCTGTTTATTTCCCGCTTAAGCCCTTGTTTGGTTATTCCGTTTCTTCTCAGACATGTGCCCAATATGCCCACTATCTTCATTGTCTTATAGCTGCTGATATCAGCGGTTGTCCAGACAATTCTCTAATGTCTTCATTTTTCTCAAATCAATATCATTTCATGTTTCATCATATGTCTCATCATCTCATGTGTTAGCATCTCTCATGTCTCATCATCTTATGTCTCATCATTTCATGTATAATCATCTCATGTCTCATCATCTCATGTGTTAGCATCTCTCATGTCTCATTGCTTGCCTCAGGCATTTATTTTCACTTGCATTCAACTTTTGTGCCGTCTCTGTAGTGGCTCTCAACTCTTGTACCATGTCTGTAGTGGTTCTCAACTTGTGTGCCGTGTCGGTAGTGGTTCTGAACTTGTGTGCTATGTCTGTAGTGGTTCTCAACTCTTGTGCCATGTCTGTAGTGGTTCTCAACTTGTGTGCCATGTCTGTAGTGGTTCTCAACTTGTGTGCCATGTCTGTAGTGGTTCTCAACTTGTGTGCTATGTCTGTAGTGGTTCTCAACTCTTGTGCCATGTCTGTAGTAGTTCTCAACTTGTGTGCCATGTCTGTAGTGGTTCTTAACTTGTGTGCCATGTCTGTAGTGGTTCTCAACTTGTGTGCCATGTCTGTAGTGGTTCTCAACTTGTGTGCCATATCTGTAGTGGTTCTCAACTTGTGTGCCATGTCTGTAGTGGTTCTCAACTTGTGTGCCATGTCTGTAGTGGTTCTCAACTTGTGTACCATGTCTGTAGTAGTTCTCAACTCTTGTGCCATGTCTGTAGTGGTTCTCAACTTGTGTGCCATGTCTGTAGTGGTTCTCAACTTGTGTGCCGTCTCTGTAGTGGCTCTCAACTCTTGTACCATGTCTGTAGTGGTTCTCAACTTGTGTGCCATGTCTGTAGTGGTTCTCAACTTGTGTGCCATGTCTGTAGTGGTTCTCAACTTGTGTACCATGTCTGTAGTGGTTCTCAACTCTTGTGCCATGTCTGTAGTGGTTCTCAACTTGTGTGCCATGTCTGTAGTGGTTCTCAACTTGTGTGCCGTCTCTGTAGTGGCTCTCAACTCTTGTACCATGTCTGTAGTGGTTCTCAACTTGTGTGCCATGTCTGTAGTGGTTCTCAACTTGTGTGCCATGTCTGTAGTGGTTCTCAACTTGTGTGCCATGTCTGTAGTGGTTCTCAACTTGTGTGCCATGTCTGTAGTGGTTCTCAACTTGTGTGCCATGTCTGTAGTGGTTCTCAACTTGTGTGCCATGTCTGTAGTGGTTCTCAACTTGTGTGCCATGTCTGTAGTGGTTCTCAACTTGTGTGCCATGTCTGTAGTGGTTCTCAACTTGTGTGCCATGTCTGTAGTTTTTCTAAACTTGTGTGCCATGTCTGTAGTGGTTCTCAACTTGTGTGCCATGTCTGTAGTGGTTCTCAACTTGTGTGCCATGTCTGTAGTGGTTCTCAACTTGTGTGCCGTGTCTGTAGTGGTTCTCAACTTGTGTGCCATGTCTGTAGTGGTTCTCAACTTGTGTGCCGTGTCTGTAGTGGTTCTCAACTTGTGTGCCATGTCTGTAGTGGTTCTCAACTGTCACTGACAGATGTCCCCACTGAAATGTTACATTGAAGTTACACCATTTGGTTTTCATGCTGTATCATTTATTGCTCCATAAAATTGATAGTTCCATATTTTGTTGAGGCCTTTAGAAGCTGAATGGCTTGAAGTTCTAGGCAACATGGAAGATACAAATCTGTGCCAGATGTTGACTGGAATGCCATTTGCTGTATATTTGTAATTCTATGTAATGTTGAGATGTCTTGTTGGGGAGACTGTGTTGAGATTATTTTTTGGGTAGACTGTTGATATTACTTGTTGGAGCGACTGTATTAAAGACCTTGCTTTATGTTAGTTTGCTTGCATCTGTAGAAATGTGCCCTTTGTCTAGATTTCTAGTCACATTTTATGTTCACTGATTTCGTCCTGCTAAAGCAAAGTTTTACTGCAAGTTCGTCTGATTTTTATTTTTTGGTAAATAATTAAGAAACTGACTTTACTATAATTTCTATAGGAAAACTTGGACACTAGTGACAAACATTCACATGTTAGCCATTGTTCTTTTTATCTGCATGTTTCCAAACCTACTACTGGACAAGACAAACCCCCTAACAATGTCAGTGAGCAGAAATCTGGTCATACATGTAATCTAAGTTACAAATTGTAACAATGTTACACATACTGTCTTGATGGAGCCAGATTTATTTCAAAAGTGGCCTTGGCTGTTGGGTCGACCCAGTCTTGAGTGGGTGCCAGGTACAGTCCTGGGAAGTAAAAGTGGCCTTGGCTGTTGGGTCGACCCAGTCTTGAGTGGGTGCCAGGTACAGTCCTGGGAAGTAAAGGTGGTCTTGGCTGTTGGGTGGACCCAGTCTTGAGTGGGTACTAGGTACAGTCCTGGGAAGTAAAAGTGGCCTTGGCTGTTGGGTCGACCCAGTCTTGAGTGGGTGCCAAGAACAGTCCTGGGAAGTAAAAGTGACCGGCATGATGTTGACCACATCTCACACCCAGTGTTGACCACATCTCACACCCAGTGTTGACCACATCTCACACCCAGTGCTGACCACATCTCACACCCAGTGTTGACCACATCTCACACCCAGTGTTGACCACATCTCACACCCAGTGTTGACAGGTCTATCAAATATGGGTCGTGCCCTATATCCCTAGTACGCCTGATGGCATGGAACAGGGTCCTTTACTTCACTGTTACATACCAGTCACAACACAAGATACCAGTCACAACACAAGATAACTGTCACAAGACAAGATACTTGTCACAACACAAGATACCTATCACAACACAAGATACTTGTCACAACACAAGATACCTTTCACAACACAAGATACCTGTCACAACACAAGATACCAGTCACAACACAAGATACCAGTCACAACACAAGATACCAGTCACAACACAAGATACCAGTCACAACACAAGATACCAGTCACAACACAAGATACCAGTCACAACACAAGATACGAATCAAGAGGGCACCATATATAGTTAACTTTTCATGAACAAGTGATAACGTGACAGAAACACAAGATCGAACAAAGTTTATTTAGACAAAAGCAGGAGCTTGTACAAGAATGATGCAGACAAAACTAAAAAAAAAAAGTAAAAGACTGCAACAAGGCTGTGGGGGGGGGGGGGGGGGAGTGTTGCCAAGGGCTTATGCTCCACTTCAGTGTAAAATAGAGAATAAAAAGACAGCTTCAAAATATCATAAAGATTTTAATGCAAGTCTGCAGAACACAGTTATTCTCCACCACACCAGGTACTTGACAAGCACTGGACAAACACTTGAATCAGTCACCAGTTCTCTAATAGTGACCAATAGACAATCTTCATGTAGTGACCTTTATCAGTATCAAATCAAAATTTAATTTATATTAAAAATGTCAACATATGATATTCATTTACTAACTGATATCAAACATTGTCAGTCAACATATTCATTTAAGAACTAATATCACACAATGGCAACACACAATATTCATCTAATAATTTATACCAAAAATTGTCAATCAATATATATGTAACAACATACTTACACAAATGAATGGAAGTAAACAGACTTGTTCCATTAATTACAGCACGGACCATTAACTTTGTGGCTTTTCCCAGCTACTTCTAAGAGGCTGACTATAACAGCTGTGTGATTTCAGCAACATCCCTGACTGAAGCAAGGGAAGGTAACTCTGTGGTTACCACAGACCAACATCTCCTGCTTCGTTCCTGCTGTAATTAGGTCATACAATGGACAATATCATTGGCTGGTAAATATGGCATGCCATGGAACAACCAATCAAACATCATGTTCTCAGATGTTAAGATCCTCATCACTAAGACAACCTCATCACTGTCCTTGCCCTCACATGACTGTCCTAGCCCTCACATGACTGTCCTAGCCC